GTTTATGTCTTTTAACAAAATCAGACTGTCCTGGTGCCATTTAATTAATAAGTTTCTCGACTATTCTTATAGAAATAAGGTGTGGGGTGTGGGTGTGGGTGTGCGTGTGGGGTGTGGGTGTGCGTGTGGGGTGTGGGTGTGGAGGTGTGGGTGGATGGCATATGGGTGAGGTGTGTGGGTGGGGATGGGGTGGAGGTGGGGGTGTAGGCATTCCAAAAGACAAAAACACACCCACACCCACCCTACACCCACCCACACTCACACCCACACCCACACCCACACCAACACCCACACCCCACACCCACCCTACACCCACCCACACTCACACCCACACCCACACCAACACCCACACCAATACTCATTTTTGCTGAAACTGTGAATTGTTGGAATTTAACATACGTTGTAAATACTCTAAAATTCGAATATCTCGATCAGTGTACATCATCAGAATATCATATTTTGAATTTTTTTCGAGTTGACGGTGAGATATTTTATTTGGTCTGAATATGTCTAATCTTATTGACTGACAACACAAACATTTCCATCGTCACAAACGAAAACAAAGAAAATATGAATGTCTAGCATTTTGCTGATTGATCTTTTTAAAAAACAATTAACTTTTTTTTAAATAGCCGGTGGTTGGGCTCAGCCCAATCTGGCCCTACCCTGGTTACGCCACTAATATACAGATAGCTGATTCATCTTATATTCAATCATATAGTCATTCTTCGCTACATAATATTAGTATTATTATTTTTTCTTGTCGTTCTATCTTCATTTTTTCTTCGACTATACATCACAATAACTGACTTTTTCAATTTCATTTACTTTTATGTTCATTGTTTTTTCTTTTTCTTAATGCTTATGTACAACATAAAAATCATATACAAGTCACTTAATAATCTAGAATTCAGCTGTATAAACACTTCTCTAAGTGTGACTCGATGTTCTCTCTTTCATTACGGTTACTTCTACACTACGTAACTTACAATTTTTACTTAATTTAGTGTTCTCTTTTTTGTTTGATACTTTTTTCATATTTTATAAATAATTTGTTTAATTTTTGAGATATTTTGAAAAAGACTAAATCTTCCGACACACGCGTCAAACAAACTCTTCGTCTTAAAAATTGCAAATCTGGGATTAAGAGTTCTCTAAGTCTTAATTTTTCATATCAATAAACTGAGTGGGGTGAAGGTTCCCTTTTCCCAACATTCACACCCACACCCTCAAAGCATCTGTATGGGTGATAGCATAGGAAAGTTTTCTTTTTAAAAGCGGTCGACAATAGTGATTGATTGGTTGACTGATCTATTGTTGATGAAAAATTCAAACAAATCATATATTTCTTAAAATATTTTTCTTTTCATATCTACATCAAATTTCAAATGATTGAATTTTTTTTACAAGAAACAAATAGACCATTATAACATATTTCTACTTGATGATAAGGTTAGAGAATGATTTTGTTCGCCAGTTTTACTATTTATTTCGTATTATTTTTCCTAATGTAGGGTGTGTTTGGTAAATCTTCTCAATCATAGATACAATACGTTTGATTAAAATATTTTATTATTTTTTTTCGTTTTATGAACAAAGTACTGCACATTTTAAAAACATTAATCAAATCTGTTAGGAATTTTCTCGATAGTGATTGCAATGCAAATAGATGAGGAAAGAAAGATTGACTTGTCAATGCCAGCATCCAGCATGAGAATCATTACGCCCACACACACACGCAAAGTCTCGCTTATAAATATATAAATATGTTTCAGACACAATAACATTGTGTATCGTTAAACTCCACGTCCATTCCGTACAGTGCCAATTTTTTGTCCTTTTCTGCTTCAATATATATAATCCATTTGAGAACTTGATTTGAACTTTTGACACAAAATTCATCTCTTTCTTCTTGCTCATGTTTTAAATAGACGGTATCATACTCCAACCACCACGAATTTTTGTTGCTGACTATATGCAATTCAGATCTGGTGAGCATCAGAACCTTTCCCATACGAACTTCTGCACAAATGTATGCACCAGCTTCTCTTGCTTTTCCTTCAGTATTTGTGATCGAACGAGCAAAATAAATACCAAATCCTAACATTTGTGGAGGAGTCTGACTAATATTCATATCACTATGAGCGATCGAAATTGCAAAATCTGCTCGTGTGCGATGAAAACCAATATAGATCGGATAGTCGGGCGACCATCTCGGTTGTGGTCGAAAGTCGGCTGAATGGAAAATGACAATGTGTTCCAATTCTCGTTCTTTACATCCATTACCGTTTTTGCATTTTTGGTTACCAATTGCAGCCGTTCGAAATTTTTCAATCAGTACATATGGAACAAATCGTTTATGTTTAGGAGATAGTGGTGGTTCACTAAAAGATGGGTTCGCATCAACAATAGGTTCATACGCCCACCATACTCTATAGTAATATATATCCAGTATAATCGCTAACAATGAGCAGATCAAGGTAACTGCTAAAATACCGACTAGTATTATTTCTAACGTCTGGGCTGTTCGTTCTGACAATTCAACGAATGCTACTACGTAAATAATGGTCCCAACCAGTCGAAGAATAATAAAAATACTACGAAAAACAATGCGTACTATGAATCTCAATCGAGGTCGAGGAATATAGCATGGGCAATTGCAATTCAATGAGACACATCGCAGAAACGAACGTCGACATGAATCGATCATAAAACACATCCAAAAAGTGAATCCAGAGCAGAAACATATACCTGCTGATAGAAGGGCACCAGTTGCACTCACAATCAACAAAGCGAATGCAGCATCAATTTTTTTTTGTTGTGCTGGTGGTATAGGAGTCGTTGTTGTAGTTGAACCCGTTGTAGTACCTGTTGAACTATTGCTACGAATTGAAATCATGAAAAGTATAGTGACACCAGTCAAAACTCCCTCGATAATAGCTAACAAAGCATATAAGTACGGTAATGCGCGATACAAACGACGAGAAAACATTGAATTCAATCAATATTGAGAGAGAGAGAAGAAATCTAAAATAGAAGATCTATTCTTCAATTTTATTGCTAAAATGTGTGATGAAATACTTAAGCAGAAACAACATTCATATTTTTGTGGGCATGTGCCAAAAGAATTCGAACTCGATCATGATTTGAGGCTGTGGGCGTGAGTGGATGTGTTTGTAGAAGAATAAACCCTGCCCACATCCACACCCACCCTTTTCATCATTTCTTTTTGTTTTTCAAAATAAATCGTGACACATTATGAATTTCACACCAAAATCACTGATTGAAAACATGTTTCTTCAAATAAAGGAATTATGTAAAACACGTTTGAAATCCTAATTTTTCATATGTAGCAAGTAATGATAAGGATTGATTGATTAAATTTTTTCTGTGGCAAAACTCGGATGATGTTTTCAGGTTTGGGTGTGGGTGTGGGTGTTGGTGTGGGTGGGTGTGGGTGTGGGTGTTGGTGTGGGTGGGTGTGGGCGTGCCAAAAGACAAAAACACACCCACACGCACACCCACAGCCACCCACACCCACACCCACACCCACACCCACACCCACACCCACACCCACCCACACCCAACTTAGCCAACAGACTTGCAGGGTACGGATATTTTACAACCTGTAACCTGTCCTGGCCTGTTATGTTTTTTTTTATAACCTGTAACTAGCCCTGCTCTGTCCGGCAGAAAATTTCTTGGTTCCTTGCCGAAAAGTTCAGCGGCTCGGTGATCAATAACAACGAAAATTAGCTAGAATAAAATAAGATACTATTAAACTTCGAGATGAAGATCCTATTTAAAGTGAGCACACACTTACTTAAGGGGGAAAAATCTGACAAAACGACATTTAATTCAGAGAAATCTGTAGGCTTCGCTGTTTTTCTTTTTCAGGCAGGAGATGTTTGCGTAGAGCTTTAATTATGTGAAAAACCTTGACATTGTTTCTGCTTGCTTATAACAAATCCAAGTATAGTTTAAAATAATATGTAGAGCCTCTTCAAGACAGACCTATTAATGATGGAAACACCCAAAAATAGTCTACGCAATGATCAACTTAAAAAAAGTGCAATTTTTGAATAAAAATAGAGGAGAAAAATTCGAAATATATGCTAATGGTATGTGCTGATATGAAATATTTCAAAGAGACATAATACATCATAATCGTTCATATCGTAGGTACTTAATTGTTCAATTATTGTTATGCTTGGAATTGTAGGAGTTGCCATTGTTACATTTATCAGAAAGAACGAGCAAAAAGAAAAGCGTATGGAATTAACGAGAATGAACCGTCATTCTGCTTGATAGAAAAGAAGTCGCGAAAAAATACTTTATTAATGAAGAAAAAAACACATGGGACGAAGAGAAGCAATAAAAGGAGACGGAATTGTGTTTTTATTTTTTCGATACTGAAATAAGCTGAGTTAGAGAAGATTTTTCCTTTTTCTTTCTGTTTGTCAGACACACATGACAAAATTATACGTCACAAATTTTATCTCATGCAACAAATACTTCTCTCATTTTGAAGCATTCGAAGAAAGAAAAGCTGCTAGCGCAATCCCTGAGGAATTAAAATGTGAAATACGATATAGCTGTTGTTGCTGATCACGAGAATATTGCTTTATTCGATCTATCTTAGTACTCATTTTTTCATCATTTATATTTAATCCTGTAGAACTACAATAAGGAAGCAATTTATATATTTTCGTGAGATGTTACTGATATATATGATCGTTAATTATGTATCAAAAACGTTTGCGGTGGTATTTGAAGGTCGTCTATCACGGTCTGTGATGGTCTCTGGAGTCCATCTGTCACGGTTTATGATGGGTCAACAGCCCGTATGTCACGGTCTGTGGGGACGGGGCGGAGTTCAAACTGTCTACCCTTATACTTTAACACTCCTTTTAGATCGTGTTTCACATAAATATTACGAGCATTTTTTCCAGTAACATTAAATATATCGAATTAACTAATGTTCAATAGTTTCTACGAAATATATAACAATGAATTTAAAATCAAAACTTTCAAATTAATACATAGATCATATCAATTTTGACAGTGAGAAAAATTTTCTAACTAGGGAATCCTCAGAAACCATGCAAATAGTTGTCACGTACATCAATAATGCCAAATGAATACTGATTTCATAAGATTGTTATGTATTCAAACATTTTCAATTACATCAAATGCCTAATATGCTTGTTTTTTTTTCAAAAACAAAAGCTATGATCAAGTCATTCTCTTTTTTGAAGTAATTAATGAGCGTACATTGTTTTAGATGTTGTGAATATGGAGTTTGTATTATTCATTCCATAAATATTAGGAATTATTCTATAAATATCAAAGTCTAAGCAATAACAACTATTATTCGTCATAATTTACTTTACTTTACATGAGAACAGCTAAAGTACAAATGGTTCAGTGAATTAACATTCTAGAATGTGGTCCATCCTACTAGTTAAATAAGGAAATGCTAAATTCGGAAGGCTCCAATGTAATCCGCGATATGAATAGCATTAATTTTTTAATCTTTCATATGTTTCGATGGAGCACGTGATATTAAGTAGGAACAAATGCCATTACAAGGTTTTTCTAAGTCAAGCTTCATCAAGAGTACTTTCCAGTACATATATCCTGTGATAACATACAAAACTGTAAAATTGTCTCAATCATATATCAAAATTCGTATTTATTGTTTCTATTGCTACTTTCAAAGTATAGGACGTCCCAAAAGTCCATTTCTAAAAGATTATTTTGTTTCATTTCACTATTGACTGAACTTCAATGAATAAAATTTTCTTTTGAATAATAGATAAATACACAGAGGTTTTATTTCTAAAGACAAACTTCAAAAGAATTGTTGATAGTTAAGACCTTTAGCAGAAATACAAACAAATTAGCATGTTTTCTCTTTTAAGAAAAACTCAGTGATGATGAATGTTTTAATTGCTTGAATTTAAATTCGGTACTATTCATTTCTTTTTTTTGAAAGGCATACCAAAATAAAATTTTGTAAAGAGATCGTTCAAGTATTGAATAATTCTAAATTTTTCTGCGTCATCTAAAGGTCTTAACTTTTACCAATGGTTTTGAAGTTTGTCTTTAGAAATAAAATCTCTGTGTATTTATCTATTATCCAAAAGAAAAAATTACCAAATAAAGTTCAAGTAATAGTGAAGTGGAACGAAAACTCTTTTACAAATGAACATTTGGGACATTCTGTAGCTTCGCTCACGAGGGAAGTTCCTCAAATGATTCCTCGCTTTTAAATCGGGACTATGTGCATCATGTAGCTCCTAATGAGCTATGAATATCCTGAAAAGGTTTCGGGCTGATAGCTTATTGCTACTATGATACTGCATTTTTACGGTAGTCTTTAAGCTAAATCCCTTAGTACTTCTCGGAAACATCATGAAAAGTGAACTTTGAATTTCGACTCGAAACTTTGTATAGTGATGAGTCTCAATGAGAATAATTTATTGCAAAAGTTTTAGATCTTCTGATTGCTCCTATCTTGAAATGAGAGCCTCAGAACCTGGTAGTGAATATGAGCGATGTACAACCATGCTTTTTCATAACTGTATCTTCGGATAGCAACAAACAAGATATCCAAAACTTTCACAATAAAATTTTCTCATTGAGACCATCACTGTACAAAGTTTCGACTCGAAATTCAAAACCAGCGACCAAATCAAACCGAACCGTTATAGTTCGGTTCGGTTCGATTCGATTTATTTTCCGTCTCCGATGTAAAACAATGGATCAAACGTAGTTTGATAATCGCTCACAGCAGCGCAATTTCACAAAAAACATTACAGCTCAATCAATCATTTTTCATATGTGTTTATCTATACTCACTCTTCGAAAATTAGCTAGGCTATGCTTCAGTTCGGCATCGTTCTTTAAGGAGTGGTTCGAGTTCGATTTGGTTCGTTTTCGGTATCTGAATCGGACTGGGATTCCACCCTTAAATTGCCATTTTTTGTATCAAAACCCAATTATTACGTAACAAAAATATTATATTCTGAAACAGCATAAAACACTGAGTCCAACAGCATATATTTTGAATTATTTAGACAACTTTTGTTTTTTTGAAGAAAATCTTGGGTAGGTTCTCATTGAAAATATACAAAACAATAAAAATGCTCCGAAATGATTTATTTCTATCTCGTTCGACTCAGTTTTTTAATGCTGAATCCGAATATAATATTTTTATTACGTAATAATTGAATTTTGGTACAAAAAATGGCAATTTACTAGTCGAATCCTAGTCCGATCGTTATTGACTTAGAAAAATGCCATTGCTCAGTCAAGAAACAAAATTTCTTACAATCCATACGTACTTTTTTCCCTGTCAGATGAAGATTCGATTGAACTATAAATATTTAGAATATGTTTTCAAACAAAACACTACATAGGTTCGAGAATGGAGAGTACCCATGTCTTTCATCCCGGCAATTTCCCGCCGGAACCCCGCGAGATCCTGGCAATCCCACGAAAAATGCCGGGATCCCGCCCATGTGATGAAAATCGCGCAAAAATCGGCGATTTATCGCGATTTATCATGCCGATTAATTGTGAGATTATATCGCGATAAAATCGTCACATTGAGCGATTTCTGACGATTTTTAGCAATTTTTTTCCCGATTTCTTCAGAAAAATCGCGATTATTCCGCGATTTTTCTCTAATCAATAAAGATGGTTCCCATGAAAAAAAGATAGAAAAAACAACTTTTTTTTTCAAGACTTGATGTCTATAGAACGAGTCTATTCAGTATCTATTAGCGTTCTCTGAGAACGACTTCGTCCATCGATATACCTTCGTGCTTACTCAGCGCGTTCCAACTCGCTTTTTGTTACCGTAGAGCAGATTCGATCAGATGAACTTGTATT